CCATTATTAATGTTGAAAATGAATAAATATATAAAATTATTTTTTTCCAAACTACTTTTATTGTTTTCGGGTGTAAGAACACTATTTTGGGTAAAAACATTTTTTTGACAACTTGGTAAATTTCTGTTAGGTAATTCAAACTACCATTTAATAAGAAGTCCAATTGTAAAATAGAACTAAAAATAATGAAATATCTATGGATATTGATTGAATACATAGAAACTATTCAATGGTCCAATAAGGCAATTCAAGATTTTCAAAATGGACTTACTAAATATTTCTTTTTGCAAAAAAACATACTAAAACTACTCTTAATATGATGAGGTGGTTCAGTGAAATCTCTCCCCACATTCATTACTATAAATACATGAAGAAATAAGTGAAAAAAATATACAATCTTCTTCTCATATATTTATATTACAATCACTCTCTAAAACATTAACAAAAAAAAAGAAAGAAAAAATGGGTAGGAGAAAGATTAAGATGGAGCAAGTGCAAGACACAAACACAAAGCAAGTTACGTTCTCAAAACGTAGATTGGGTTTGTTCAAGAAAGCAAGCGAGCTCGCGACTCTTTGCAACGCCGAGGTTGGTATTGTTGTCTTTTCTCCTGGAAACAAACCTTATTCCTTCGGGAAACCGAGTTTTGATTCGATTGCAGAACGTTATAACAACGATTCCGAAGATTCAGATAGCTGTGAAACATCAGGAGCCAGTAGAGGTAATAGAGCTAGACAAGAGAAGAAGATATGCAAACGTCTCAACTCGATCATCGAAGAGGCTGAAGAAGAGAAGAAACGAAGCGAAAAGCTTCAGAATTGGCTTGAATCTGCTGGTGAAGAGAGGTTTAACAAACCCATTGAAGAGCTTACTCTTGAGGAGCTCAATGAATTTGAAGCTAAGATGAAGAAAATGCATGGTGGAATTCAAGGTAACATTAATCAGATGCAAGCTTCGTCTTCTCTCATGTTTCTCTCTCAGATTAATAACTAGACCGATGTGTTTTGGAACTTTCATTTTGTTATTAGTGATTTAATAATTAAGTCGTTATATTTGGTTTAAATGTAATTGTATCCTCTTCTTGTTGATAGATTGGTTGTGAGATCAAAAGGAGTAGTCTTATTTCTCTCTAAGAACCTTAAGTTGTTAACAATATCTTTCTATTAAAGTTTTATGGTGATGGATCTTGTGCCCATAATGTCATTCTTAATCTTTTTGATATGTTAAAGAGTTGGAACCACTATTCAACTTTATATAATAGGATACATAATATTTACGCATATAATTTTAATATTTATCCTTAAACAAAAACAAGACCGTTGATTTTTTATTTTTATTTAATTTTATCGTTAATTACATCGCATTAATATCCATTCAACCATTTTTTTTTTGTTTCCATTCAACCATTCTTTTTTACTAAAACAAAATAGAATGGTTGAACGGATATTAATGCGTTGTAACGACTAACGAACGACAAAAATAAAAATAAAAAGTATCAACCATTCAACCATTCTTACCGGATAGATTGGATAAGAAAAGAAAGAAAAAATAAGTGTAGAAATCTTACACGATGTTGATCAAAGAAAAATTACATGAAAGTATTTATTAAACAATGAATTGAATGTTAGATTTTTTTTTTTTCTTTTCAAACCTCTTTTAAATGTCGATAAGTTTATGTAATTATGGATTTGTTTTACATATGGCACATACGATTGATCATAATAAGACTCGTAATCGAGTTGTTTTCAATCTAATAACAATCATTTACAAAAAAAAAAAGAAAAGAAAATTGTCGTTTCAAAATACAATATGACATAACCTTGTTTCATTTCATATAATAATTCTTATCTTTTCA